ACTTTCCCTTGGCTCTACTTACGAAACATCTGTTAGTCCTTCAAGGGTCAACGTTAAGTATCCTTTCTACCATGGAATCTTCTCCAATACTATTCTCAGACTAAAGTTCTTCATCATCCATACCCTCAGAGGACTTTCTTTGTACTTCCATTTTGACATTTGCGACTATATTACTTTGCCTCATCTTATACTAAATTTGGTGTAGGTCTATGCAGTTATTAGACTTCTTTCCTAGTAATGAGGAAAGTGTCTATTTTATAGTATTTCGGAATGAGGTTGTCTTTCTCCTCTGTTATTCCTCCAGAAGATTCCTGTATCCTCTATATTTAGGAAATTGTACATAGCACATAATACAAGCTCAGTAAACATTTCTTGAATAAATAATTTCCCGATGAACTGAACGTTATTTGAAGACAGGTACTGTACCTTATTCATTTATATTTCTCACAGTGACTAGAAAAAACTGAGGAACAGAAACTGCTATAGGTCGAATAAAATGTTGGCTTAGACTGACCTCCTGGGTTACTGAAATATTTGGCTAAACCTAGGACAATCTGTCATTTCTTCATTTCAAAGAGATTTATTGAGTATCTTATTTATGCCAAATCTTATTCCAGGAGTTGGGAACAGAATTGTAAATCAGATCAACCATATGTATGTTGAAGTGGAGGATACATATGTGTAGCTAATAAATCAGTATCACCCACCACAAAAAAATAAACGAATAATTTTTTTTTCTTAATTCTTGAACTCAATTCTTAATCATACAAGCCTGAAACCCAAGACTCATCTGTGGCTTCTCCCTATATCTTACGTCAACCATTATTTGACAAAATGTAAATTGCTCCGGTGGATAATGGCAATGATGATGATGATGATGATGATGATGATGGCATTCACCTCCCCCTCTAAAATTTCAATGCTGTCCTACAAATTCACGCCCACATCTTGCCTTTTGGGAACAACAATAATTGCTTTCTAATCACTCTTTCCATTTTCATGCTTTCCATCACTAACATTCCTTTTTAGTACTGCCAGAATAATTTTCTTAAAAAGCAATGATATTATACATCACAGCTCTGCTCACAGGCCCTCAGTGGCTTTGCACTGTGAACACAGGCAGGAAGAACACTGTTCCTGATTCCTTAGCTTCATGCTCAAGAAGTTTCCAAAACTGACTTCCAATTTGTCTTTCCAGATTCACTTACACTGTTCTTCCCACAATCCAGACTCCCACAAAATTAGCTCTTGATTTTATATCTTTGGTGCATTACCATTTATTTTTTTCAAATTCTGCCTATATCTCAAGGCCCAATTCAAGGATCTTAAATTTGTCTCTGACTTTTACCTTCTGTGTATGAAAACTCAATATGCTTTGTGCTTTTACTCCTTAAGCTTACCTATTTCTACCTCATTTTTTATTATTTATAAATATTGCTCATGTATCCAACTAGAGTGTATTTAATCTTTGTTTCAATTAACATTTAATAGGCACTTACTGTTTTTCCATTATTCCAAAGCACCTAAAACATATCATATTCATAGTAAATATTAAATGGTTTTTGGTAGAATTTGGCAAACTCCCAAATTAGAAAAAAAAGAACTTATGGGTTTGTATAAAGATTAAGTGATATAATACATGTAAATTCATAACATTTCTTCAGTAAATGACAGCTATTACGATAATAAAAAAAGTACCCAAAATCAAAATACCATTTTTCTAAATATGAGCAATAATCTCTACCAAAGAAATACATAAGAATGGGAGAACACTATATAACTCATCAAATTTTAAGTATGTATGAAAGGAGGTGGGTAATGTACCTATCATTTTCAGATACAAATTCATAAATATACACATATCATGTCCATCAACTGGAAATTATATACAGTGTCAAAATTTATTGATATAAGAATCACAAAGACATTATTTCACATTTAATAATGTTTGTGAAATTTAATAAAAGTCTATGTGATGAAAAACTTTTTTTTCCTTTTCTAAAGAAACAGCTTTAGAATATGATTGATGCCTGCTATTATGGGTCTATATTTGTATTTCCTTATTTTAGAGGCATTTCAAAAATATAAAAATATACCTAAAGCATTTCCAGTTATACTAAAAAAAAGATAAAAGGTGATCATTTATAGGCAATCATATTTATGATGATAGACTCTCAGAAGGCAACTGCAAACATAAATAAATTTTAAATGCTTTTTGGAAAGAGTTGAGAATAAAAACATTTACATAATTTCTTAGAAACCCTGGCTTTTTATTGCTGCACTTCAATATTCCCTCTGGGCAAAGGAGCAGCTACTTCAAACATTTATTTGATAACAGAATGTTTGATTTCTTTTTTTTTTTTCCTTCCTAATGTGGGTAGGTCTGTTGTTTTCACTCGACAGCAATGTGCTATATTTTAAATTTTGAATTGGCTCACTACTGATAATAAAAAATGGTTTTGTTTTGGCAGATTAAATAAATACACCAGTGCTAGCAGTAAGCATATAAATTACATAAATGTTATATTATTACAAAATGGTCCATCCACTTATCAGTCATCTTCGATAACACACCTGTAACTTCATAATAATTTAACTGGTGACTAATATCAAATGTCTCAACTTCTACTTACCTGCCTATCCACTTCTGGGAGCAAAAGCAGGAGGTATTGTTGAAAATGCTGAGGTAAGGAAGCAAATGTATGTTTATTTATTAATGCCCTCAAGTTAGTGTTGACAAGAATAGATCCTGGGGTTTCTATGTCAATGTCCTCAGCTTTGGTCCATTTCAAGTGTCCTGTGATAAAGAAGCAAGAGGCATGAACTTACTATGGATTGTGAAAATTATGCATGTGTACACACTCATGTATATATTGAACATATATGAGTATACATACATATATGTGTACATATATGCATATATATATTCATAAATATGTTTAATTCTATCCCTTTTAAAAAGGAAATTTCAGAGGGAACTCTCCAAAGCTTCTTTTTCTGTCTTGCCTCACTCAGTTGTCCTTAATTTTCATAATATATACTTCACTCAAAACCATCTATATTTTTAACTCAAAGTAGCACCAGGTCTAACTAAAGAAATATTTTAACTTTGATCTTTCAATTAGCCAGAGTTTTAAACAACTTTGGAGCTTAAGGGGTAATAATTATAATTTCTGTGGATTCTTACAAGACGTAGGATCATTAAAAACAGTATTAACAGTGCTGTTAATTTTAACAGAGATAATGGTAGCACTGATAGCTGTGAGCTCCCTGTGTCTGGTAGAGCACTAAGTGCTAGATTAGTTCAGAAGATTCTTACTCAGGTTATTTTGGGAGTAATAACTTAAAAAGCAATCCTTTATATAAAAATATTAACTACAAGGTCTGAAATATCAGTATATTTTGAAGGACAATTCTACAATTCAAGGTACCCTGACCTCCAACAGAAGGCTGTATGTACAGCTCACAACATGAAATTATGAAACACAAGAAAATAATCTACCAGGAGGGACGGTCAGTCAGCTGATACATTAAATAGAAGAATTGACACTCTTTGTTATTTGAGGTAAGAGAACCTCTTGACTGCGATTTTAACAGAATATGTTTTAAATCAAAGGCCTATGAGCTATTTCCAGTCCAAAGTCCAGTCATTGGACTGGAAATAGCTCCAGTAAATACAGTTTTACAGGATCACAGTCATGTCCAATTGTTTACATATTGTCTAGGTCTGCTTTTGCACTACAACGCAGAGTTGAATAGTTGTGAGAGAAATCGTATGATCTGCACAGCCTACAGTATTCACTCTCTGGCCCCTCAAGAAAATTTTTTTGCTCTTCTTTTAAATAATTAGAGACAAAAGAAGAAATAAAAACCATTATTAAAAACAACAACAACAAAAAAAAAACAGGACACTTTGATCAAAACGCAGGCAATTTCAAACAGAACCAGATAAAACTTCTAAAAAAAATAACAAGTGTTGGAGAGTTTGTGGAGAAAAAGGGACCCTCATATGCTGCTGGTGGGAATGTAAATTGGTACAGTTAGTATGGAAAACAGTATGCAGATCCCTCAAAAAATTAAAACAAGAATTACCATACAACCCAGTAATCCCTCCTCTGGGTATCTACCCCCAAATCTGAAAACATTTATGTAAAGATATATGTACCCCTATGTTCTCTGCAGCATTATTTACAGTGGCCAAGACATAGAAACAACCAAAGTGTCCTTCGATATATGATTGGATAAAGAAGATGGGGTACATATTTACAATGGAATATTACGCGACCATAAGAAAAGATGAAATACTGCCATTTGCGACAACATGGATCTTGAGATATCATTCTAGGCAAAATAAGCCAGACAGAAAAAGTCGAGAACCATATGATTTAACTCGTATGTGGGATATAAAACTGAAAGCAATAAATGAACAAGACAAACAAAGAAACAAAAACTCATAAACACAATAGTTTAGTGGTTACCAGAAAGTAAAGGGAAGTAGAAGAAGGTAAGTGGGGGTCAAATATATGGTAACAGAGGAGAGTTGACTTTGGGTGTGAACACACAATGCAACATATATATGATGTATTATAGAGTTGTACACTTGAAACCTACATAATTTTATTAACCAATATCACCCCAACAAATTTAATAAAAGAAACAACAAATTTAATTAAAAAATTAAAAAAATATTCAATTGACATAGCAGAGGAAAGAATTATTAAATAATTAAAATACAGAGTTGAAAATATCTAGAATGCAGCATAAGAATAATGAGAAGGATTAGAAGAAATACAGGGAATGAAATATTGGTAAGAATGCACATCTATAGGAGTTGCAGAATGAAAAAAACAGATAGCAGGTGGCAGAGGCAATATTTAAAGAGCTAACGGCTGAAATTTTTAGAATTGAAAAAATGACAAGAGTCCTCAAGTTAAGCAATATGCCAGATCTCAAGAAGAATAAATTCCCATTTGATGTGTTGAAATCACAAAACATCAAAAAATAAAAGAAAATTTAGAACAATTTTGAACAAAAATAGATTACCTTCAAAGGGATGATAATAAGACACAGAAACCTTATCATCAATAAGTAACGGGTGACTGAAATAACTTCAAAGGACCAAGAGAAAATAAGTGTCAATTCAGAATTTCATTAATAACAAAGTCATTCAAAACGGCAATTATACAAGAACATTTTGGTATCCAAAATGGAAACTCTCTCTCTTAGAGAATCTTGCTGAAATAACCACTAATAGATTTTCTTAACAAATAAAGAAATTAAAACAAAGAAGGTATGAGTGGATGGCAGAAGCAATGTAAACTGAAAGACTAATAGACACAAGTAACTCCAAATAAATATTAATGGTGAAAAATAATACTAATAACTAATGATAGTTAAAACAAAGTGGAAATAAAATAGTAGACAATAATTGCATGCAAGATAAGAAGGTGTGATTGAAATGAGAACTCTGTAGAACCCTGGCATTGTTTGATAACAAGAGAGATACAGACTAGTTCTTTACTTTGTTAAAAGTAAAGTAGCCACTGAAAGAAATGAAAAAGAGGACCAGCCGAGTGGCACATTGGTTAGGAGTTGGCTTGGGATGCCAGCTCTGAGCAGCAGGGCCCCGGTTCGGATCCAACATGAGGGCTAGTGACGCTGCACCCTCTACAGCTAAGATGGTGAATAACAGCTTGACCTGGAGCTGGGCTGCCGTGAGTCACCAGCAACGGCATAGGCTGCAGCGGGGCTGGCCGGCAGCTGTCATTAGCTTTCGTGAGACACCGTGAGCGGCCGTACAATGGCTGGCGAGTGACTGCCTCACCAGGGAAGAGCGCAATGATAATACCAACATGGGCCAGTGAAGCAACGTCCTCCACAGCTAGACTGAAGAACAAAAGGTCAGCAACTTGTCTGTTCCCCTTCCCCAATTTCGCAATGCTGTTCCCCTCCTCTAATTCCCCAATAAAATCTTTAAAAAGAAAGAAAGAAAGAAAGAAATGAAAAAGACTCATAACTTCCAAATAAATGCATGGAAGGAAAACACAATCAATTAAATGAAAGGCATGAAAAAGAAAAAAAAAATTAAATCAAGTCCAACACAATCAAAATAAATATAAATGGATTTCCATATTAGATTTAAAAAGTAATACAATCCAATTATATGCTGCTTACAAGAGATATACTTAAAATAAAAATCACATGAACTGGATATAAATGAGATAAAAGAAATGCTGTGCAGACATTCAAAACAATTTTTAAAAAGTAATATTACAATGTTAACATCAGACAAGATAAACAAAGTTAATAAACCTTACTGGGCATGAAAAAAATCATTTCTTAAGTGTGAAAAGAAAAAAAATCACTAGGAAAATATAATGACTTTAAGCCTGCATGCATTTAAAAACCATAGCATTCAAAATCTAAAATTGAGAGAATTAAAAAGATAAATTGGCATTACACAATGCTAGCAGGAAGTCTTAACATATCAGAAGTTGAGATATCCGACAAAAACCTGTTTCAAGAATACAGAGGACTTTAACAACTCAACAATTAATCCTGAACCAATGATTTTTTGTCAGCACTCAAGGAACTGTAAGAAAACAAAACAAAAAAACTGACCAGCGACAACAAACACTGAAGAATAACATAAAACCTCTTCTTTCTGTCCACAAAGAAATAAAATTAGGTATCAATAACACAAACACAGCAATTCTCCAATCCTCCTATTATACATTTGCACTTTCAAAAGCACCCTTCTAAGTATTTCATAAGTTAAAGGAAAAAAAAAGCAATAATAATAACAAAATATTTAGATTCTAAATAACGCCCAAATTTGTAAAATACAGTTCAATTGTTTTAAGGTAAATTGTATAAATTAGAGTGGGAAAAAATACTGAAAATTCAAGTGTTATATGCACAAATCAAGAAGTTAATAAATGAACGTGATGATACAAACTTAAGAAAGAAGGAAAGATTGTAAGAATAAGACTAGACATTCATGACATAGAAAAAAGGACAGTGAAGACCATCAACAACAAACAAGTTTTTCTTTTATTAGACTAATAAAATAGGCATACTTATAGTGAGAGGTGATATAAATGAACATGAATAGGAATGAAAGGTAGGCACATAATTTGAGATATAATATAGATTTACAAAGCAGATATAATTATAATTAAAATTAGATTTTTTATTAAATTTATTGGGATGACACTGGTTAGTAAAATTATACAGGTTTCAAGTGTCTATTTCTATAATACATCATCTATATATTGCATTGTGTATTCACCAACCAGTCAGTTCTCCTTCCATCACCATATATTTGACAAAATTAAATTTTAAAAAGCATAATATAATACTATGACTTCACCCAATATCTTTGAAGACAGATAAACTATTATAAGTTTATAAATTTTCAAATTTAATTTAAAAATAGAAAACCTGAATTTGTAAAAACTTTTTAAAAAATGAATAGGCAACCCCCACCCCATATGCACACAATGCACTTATTATAAATAGCTCTATAGATGAATTTTACCAACACATCAAGGAACTCTCACACCATTTCATTGAATACTCATTTCAGTGAGGAGGTAAAGCTCTTTAATTCACCTTATGAAGTTAATATTACTTTTATTCCAAAATAAGGCTAAACAAAGATAGAATAAGAGAGAAAATTTATTGACCAATCTCACTTATAAACACAAAAAAAGTATAAAAGTTGTATCTATTTAGATACAGAGTTGTATCTAATCTGACAAACTCCTAATATTTGTTGAGTCAAGGTAACTGATA